ATACACACAGGCCCAAACTCACAGACTTCAGTTACTCCTCCAGAAGTAACAGCAGTTTCAACCTCAAGTGTGAAGGAATCTTTACTGACTGAAAGTACTACCCTTCTTTCTACAAGTTCAGCACAGCCCATAGCACAGGGAAGCACGGCTTTACCTCCAGGTCCCACTAGAGTATCACTTACCTCCAGTTTTTCTTCTCCATCTCCAATAAGTTCAATATCAACAGTGTCAGCTGGTAAAACATCAGGAGAAACTGTCCCTAATTCACGCACTACAGGCACTACTCCAGAAATATTTGCAGGTTTATCCTCAACTGTGAAGGGATCTACACTGACTGAAAGTTCTAAAAATCTTTCCACAAGTCCAGCACAGCCAACAGCACAGGGAACCACGCTTGTGCCCTCAGCTCCCTCTACAGTATCAGTGACCTCCAGTACTTCTCATCTAATTTCAGGGACATCGATAGTGACAGGATCATTTCGTACAACATCAGTGCGAATAGGCACAACTCCAACCATTAGGCTTACGCCTCTGGAGATCACAAGTTCATACACCACTAGTGAGAGGTCTACCTCCAATGGGAGTATTACACTTGTTTCCAAAATTCCCGGAGTGTCCACAGCATGGAGAACCACCATTTCCACTTCTGGTTTGGTGTCCTTACCTTTGAACATGAGAACCTCTGGAACATCTACTATTTCCAGCCTTTCTTCTTCATTAGTTGCAACAACTATCGGCCCCATTAATACCTATACTACAAGCAAAAAAATTTCACCCTTCACTGCAAGCAAAGTAACTCCATGTTTATGCCATGTTTCCGGTGATTTGTTTTTTCCTGGTGAGTTTAGCATTTCATGCGTTTAAAATAGATATTTTTTATGTTCGCATTTCCTCAGCCATTTTGTTTCATTTTTGTTAATTTGTTTTCTAGGGCAAGTTATATACAACAAAACAGATAGTGCTGGTTGTAGTTTTTATGCACTTTGTAATGAAACATGCAACATTGAAAGATTCCAGGGGCCATGCCCTACAACATCTCCTGTTTCATTAATCCCATCACCTACAACACCAAGCTTATCAACCTCAACAGCTATATCTTCTTCAGCATCAGCAACTCCAGAAGTATCTACACCTACTCCAATATTAGGTTGCCCTGATGCTGACCCTCCGAGAAAGGTAATCTTATTATGTATTTACTTTTTCTGCATCACCACCATTCCCCAAATTGTCCCAAAACCTGCCAACAGATGACTCACATCACTGTCCTTAATTTTTATTGGGATTTGCTCATGTACATTTCCAGTCAAAATCTGAATATTTGATAATAACCTGGTGCAATGTAACTTCTGTGAACGTGTGTTGTAAACTTTTTGTTTACAAATTATCCATCAACTGACTCAACATTTTTTCCAAATATGTTCAATGTTCAGAATTTCTCCTATGTATGCAAGTACATTTCAGTTTAAAGATTGTTTACAAAGTGTTCCTTGCCAGGCCTCTGAGAAAGATGTGGGGGGGAGGGGGTTGGCTCTGTGATCCCAAATGGGATGGGGCCTCAGATGAAAGAGGCCGTGCTTGGGCCGTAAGTCCTCAGCACTGCCTTGAGCATGCCACACTGCACCTCCTGTCAGGCCTATAGTAGCAGCGGACAGGACCCCCAGGCCCTTTTGTGTCACTAGGATACAAGGCAACTGCCCCCGTTGTCCCCAAACCAGTTGGCAGGCCGGGTTCCTTGTAAGTATTCCCTTGCATATTTGATATTCAAGCTGGATGATTGATCGCTGAAGTCATATAGCATATTTGTCATTCCAAAACTGGATGACCTAACTTTTATAAACTAATTCCTTTGTCACCCAAAACATGTTTGTTTTTTGGGGTGAAGCAAAGTTTTATCCTAGAAGTCAACGAGATGTCCATCAACACTTTTTCTAAGAATTAATTCTGCTCTAAACCCAGACATGTAAAGGCTATCACTCATATTCAGCTGCTTTTTCAGATGTGTGACCAACTTTCTTTGCATTCCATTCTTGCTAAGCACCCATAGACAATCCTACCTGCATCCTAAAGATCATTATATTATTTTAAGATAGACATCTAAATTCTGGCTCAACTTAAACCATCTATACAAGTCATTTCCTTATGTTTTCTAGATGAATGAATCCTGGATGTTAAACAATTGCACTATGGCAACTTGTGAAGGAGACAACAGAATTGTTCTAGTGTTTCCTCCAGCTGTAGAGCAGATTACTTGTGCAAGTGGACGCCAGCCACAAAAAGTCTATGATGAGGATGGCTGCAACTACCACTATGAGTGTGACTGTAAGGGAATCAAGATAAAAGCAAAGCACTAACAATGCACATCATATTTTTAATATTGCAGAAAGAGAGGTTTTCAGAGTGTCTAGATTAATTTAGTGTTTTACCTATAACACTCGTCAAATTATAGTTTGCAAATTTATGATATTATTGTGATGAATTGATGCTTTAGATATTTATTTTTCTCAGAATATGAAGCAGAATAAAATATTTGAATTATAATATTAGATCATTAAATTATAGATTTTTCTATTTTGCTTGGTATTTATTACACATCCATTGCAGTAGCATCTGACTCTAAGTAAGAGTCATCAGAAAGAATAAAGCTAAATGGAAAGAAAAGCAAATATGGATACTTAACAGCAGTTAAACTGTGCTTCTAGAATCTTTATTTTTACAGATGTCATGCAACAAAATTAGCATTTAAATATGGTATCTTAAGTTTCGTACCAGCAACAAATCTTTCTTTGACTGGTAACTTAAAGACATTTGCTATATTTAGTTTTGATTATGAACACATATTTTTGCTTTCTTTCTGATAGGTATTTGCACTGGCTGGAGCAATTCCCACTATGAGACTTTCGATGGAACTCACTACACATTCCAGGACAACTGCACATATGTGCTGATGAAACAGATTGTGCCAAAATACAATTTCAGCATTCTTGTTGACAATCATTTCTGCGATGTGGCTGATGCACTTTCCTGCTCTAGATCCATCATTGTGAATTACAACTCCATGAAAATAGTGCTGAGCAGTGGGAGAGACCAAAACGAGAAAAACAAGGTAAACCTGAATGGATTTCCCGAGTTTTATAAATTGCTTTAATACAAATATTTTAATAAGAGAAAGGTATTTTAATATTATATAAAAACTAAAGATTATAAACACATAACATTAGAAAGGTGGTAATTATATTTAATTCCATAAGAACTCCATATTTTTGTGTGTGAGAGAGAGAGATAGGGAGAAAGAGAAGAGAGTGGAAGAGGTCATTTTGTGATCTCTCTCTCTCTCTTTTTTGTGAGGAACATAATGGGGATTTTAAGATGTACTGAAAGGACCTTGGCCCTTTCTTAACACTGCCATTGGTTATTAAAAGTATTGACTCTCTGCCTAAAACATATGACCTTAAAATAAACCTGTGATTTAGCTGCTTTTATTTTGTTGGGTTTTAGATTTATGTCAATGAAGAGCCAATCTATGGAAGCTTCAGCAGAAATGGCATTTTAGTTATCAATAGTGAAACAGACATGTTGGTTGAAATTCATGACATCAAGTTTTTCATCTTCGTCAAGGAAGCTTCCTTCAGTATAGAAATGTCTTTCGGCATATTTGGAAACAACACTGAGGGGCAGTGTGGTAAGTAGAGTGGTTTAATCTTGGTCACCTTTTCCATGAGGCAATTCCCATGAGATTGTTTTCCTTATTTATGCTATGGCCAGGGGCACTTTACCTGATCATTTAAGTTTTTAGGTGCTGCAGCAAATGAAATAAAATAATAAACATGCAATGATGGGGTATACTATTTTTACTTATTGACAGTCTCAGCATCCCCTCCAGATACAATTTACATTAGCACAAACATTTCTAACATCAGTCTTTAATAAAGTGTAAGGACCAAGTAAGATTAGCACGCTCATTATAACCTGAAAATCAGGCAACCCACCCAGGAGTGAATTTGTTACATTCAGACTGGACAGTCCCGCTGTTACATAACACACCATGCTGAGTTAGAATTATAGAACACTAGAACGGGAAGGGATCTCGAGAAGTCGTCACGTCCAGTCCCCTTCCCTCATGGCAGGTCCCAGAACTATCTAGACCATCCCTGATAGATGTCTATCTAACCTGATCTTAAATATCTCCAGAGATGGAGATTCCACAACCTCCCTAGGCAATTTATTACAGTGTTTCACCACCAGGACAGCTAGGAACTTTTTCCTAATGTCCAACCTAAACCTCCCTTGCTGCAATTTAAGCCCATTGCTTCTTGTCCTATCTTCAGAGGCTAAGGAGAACAATTTTTCTCTCTCCTCCTTGTGACACCCTTTTAGATACCTGAAAACCGCTATCATGTCCCATTTCAGTCTTCTCCTTTCCAAACTAAACAAGCCCAGTTCTTTCAGTCTTCCTTCATAGGTCATGTACACTGGACCTTTAATCATTCTTGTTGCTCTTCTCCAGTTTCTCCACATCTTTCTTGAAATGTGGTGCCCAGAATTGGACACAATACTCCAATTGAGGCCTAATAAGCACAGAGTAGAGCGGAAGAATGACTTCTCGTGTCTTGCTCACAAAACTCCTGTTAATTCATCCCAGAATCATGTTTGGGTTTTTTTGCCACAGTGTCACACTTTTGACTCATATTTAGCTTGTGGTCTACCATGACCCCTAGATTGGTTTCTGCAGTACTCCTTCCTAGACAGTCACTTCGTATTCGTATATGTGAGACTGTACTTTGCATTTGTCCTCATTAAATTGCATCCTGTTTACCTCAGACCATTTCTCCAGTTTGTCCAGATCATTTTGAATTATGACTCTATCCTCCAAATCAGTTGCAACCCCTCCCAGCTTTGTATCATCTGTAAACTTAATGGCTACGTCTACACTGGCCCCTTTTCCGAAAGGGGCATGCTAATTTTCAACTTCAGAATAGGGAAATCCGCGGGGGATTTAAATATCCCCCGCGGGATTTAAATAAAGATGTCCGCCGCTTTTTTCCGGCTTGGGGAAAAGCCGGCAAAAAGCATCTAGACTGGCCCGATCCTCCAGAATAAAGCCCTATTCCGGAGGATCTCTTATTCCTACTTTGAAGTAGAAGCTCCTCTGGAATAGGGCTTTATTCCGGAGGATCGGGCCAGTCTAGACGCTTTTTTCCAGCTTTTCCCCAAGCCGGAAAAAAACGGCGGACATCTTTATTTAAATCCCGTGGGGGATATTTAAATCCCCCGCGGATTTCCCTATTCTGAAGTTGAAAATTAGCATGCCCCTTTCGGGAAAGGGGCCAGTGTAGACGTAGCCAATAAGTATACTCTCTATGCCAATATCTAAATCATTGAAGATATTGCACAGAACCGGTCCCAAAACTGACCCCTGCGGAACCCTACTTGTTATGTCCTTCCAGCATGACTGTGCCCATTAATAACTACTCTCTGAGAACAGTTATCCAGCCAGTTATGCACCCACCTTATAGTAGCCCCATCTAAGTTGTAGTTTGCTAGTTTATTGTTAAGAATACCATGCAAGACCATATCAAATGCCTTACTAAAGTCTAGGTATACCACGTCCATCACTTCTCCCTTATCTACAAGACTCATTATCCTATAAAAGAAAGCTATCAGATTGGTTTGACATGATTTGTTATTTACAAATCCATGCTGGCTGTTATCTATCACCTTATTATCTTCAAGGTGTTTGCAGATGAATTCCTTAATTACTTGCTCCATTATCTTTCCTGGCACAGAAGTTAAACTGACTGGTTTGTAGCTTCTTGGGTTGTTCTTATTTCCCTTTTTATAGATAGGCACTATATTTGCCCTTTTCCAGTCTTCTGGAATCTCTCCCATCTTCCATGATTTTTCAAAGGTGATAGCTAAAGGCTCAGATAACTCCTCTATCACCTCCTTAAGTAGTCTAGGATGCATTTCATCAGGCCCTGGTGACTTGCAGACATCTAACTTTTCTAAGTGATTTTTAACTTGCTCTTTTTTTAAATTTTATCTTCTAAACCTACCCCCTTCCCACTAGCATTCGCTACGTTAGGCATTCCTTCATCAGACATCTCGGTGAAGACCGAAACAAAGAGTTGGTCTATTGCCCATGCTTCAGTTCCACCAGACTTGTTTCCATCTGTTTTCTTCTAGGCACATGTTCAAATAACCAAGTGGATGAGTGCCGCCTCCCAAGTGGCGAAGTAATTGCCTCTTGTTCAGAAATGGCTTCCGCCTGGAAGATTCAGGATAAAAATAAGCCCAGTTGTGAAGGGCCCCCAGTTCCACCTGTCACACCAGCTCCACCTGTGCCCTGCAATTTTCCTTCTCCTCTTTGTGAGCTGATTTTGAGCAAGTAAGTTAAATTCAGACTGAGGTTATATTGGAAACTTGTGTATTGAAAAGCAAAAAAGTGCTTTGGAAGCTTTACAAATGGGCTCTGAAGTGGCCATAAGTAACAGAAATATATACTACATTATTGATTGTAACAATAGCAAAGTAGTTTAATGTATTTAGTTGTTAAGACTATAGAAAAGCTGTGTGTAGCTTGTTTCTGTTGCATAGCAAAGCTGTTACTCTGGGCATCACTTTAGTCTCTTTTTAGAGTTATGCTATCTAGAAACCAAGTCTGCCCTTGAAGAAGTCTGATAAAATATAAACTGTGCCCCACTAAGTGCTATTATTATATTGCCAATAAAACACTCACTTGGGGTTAATATTGTATATTTTAACCCTAAAAGACCATCTAGGCAGTTCTCTACCCTTTAATTATTTCACTCTGACAAGTTTCAATTTTTACAGTAGTTGTGCACGGCAGCTCTAACTTCTCCTCCATTGTATTTAAAGCCTCTTTGCAGAGTGTCATAAAGTGCTGGAGCCAACAATATACTATGAGAATTGTGTCACCAATTCATGCAACATGACCAATGAATCTATATCGTGCAACAGTGTGGAAACATACGCCTCCTTCTGCAGTGTTTTTGATGCCTGTGCTGATTGGAGAAGCAAAACTGAAGGAAAATGCCGTAAGAAGCATCAAGAAACAATTTTCTTTGGCTCTATTATGTGCTTATTGCCCTCTTATTCTGAAAGTAAAAGTAAAAACCACATAGCACTTTAAAGACTAACAAGATGGTTTAATAGGTGATGAGCTTTCGTGGGTCAGACCCACTTCCTCAGATCATATTCTGGAAGAGAATTGGCATGACCATATATATACCAAAGGAATACTGTACAATGAAAAAAGTGAAAACATTATTAAACTGACAAATCAAATTTAGTACAGAAGGTGGGGTGAGGGAGAGGGAGGGAGGGAGGGAATACCTATTTATGAGTCAATGAATGGCTAATCAGGGGTGATAAGTGGGGAAGCTATCTTTGTAAAGATGCTAATTATCTTAACCATTTCACTTTTTTCATTATATTCCTTTGGTATATATGGTCATGCCAATTCTCTTCCAGAATATGATCTGAGGAAGTGGGTCTGGTCCACAAAAGCTCATCACCTATTAAACTATCTTGTTAGTCTTTAAAGTGCTACGTGTTTTTTCCTTTTGTTTTAGCAAGATCAGACTAACACAGCTACCTATCTATTATTATTCTGAAAATGTAAACATTTTCCTTAATTTTGGGCATGGAGGAATAAATACACCTATCTAAACTTCACTTTTAATTTCATTCATGTGGAGATGGTTGAACTAGTTCCGATAAAACATAAACAATCTTTGCTGTTCTCTCAAATTCAGCCAAGCCCATACCCAAATCTTTTATGAGGCTCAAAATCATTCAGTGGCCATTATAGTATTTTAGCTATCTGTACTTTTGTATTTTCCTGATCCAAAGGGTTTATGAAGTGAAAGCGCCAATGGTTGCTACCCCTTCACATACATAACACTGAAAGCAATTGGAAATCATCTCTGCTTCTTTACCATCATACAATATTTCATTTTCATAATAATTTTATTCTTGCTCCAACACAGCATACAACTGTCCTATAGGCAAGGTGTATGATGCGTGTGGCCCTCTTGCTCCTGTCACCTGCAATTCTGGGTAAGGCTAAATGAAATAAATAGCTTTATATTAGTGTAATATCAGTGTGTACATCTCTGTCTTTGAACAGGAGGCTCCCGAGTAAAAGGCAGATGCTTGAGGACATGGTGGCACTTTGATGATTGAATCAATTCTGAGTGTGTGGTATAGCAGGGGACAACGTGTTACGGAGGAGTTATATTTTATTTGTGACATTCAAACTAAAGGCTTGATTCCTTTGATTATTAACAATCCAGTGGCACTGTTCACATAAGTAGGAAGAGCAGCATTTAGGGCCTGGCCAATTTCCTCTTTGGATAATTACATTGTGCTACCTAAATTCCCTCTGCAAATTCAAATGAGTGAAACACTTTCACTTGCTGCTATTCCTAAACAGAAAATCATGTACAACACTGCCGTGTGCTGTTAGGTAGATGTAATACTCCACCTCAGAGCTTGCCATAAATCAGTGGTGGGAAAAAAATAATTCACATACACAGTCTCTTAAGCATTATGTAACATTTGGGGATAAGGACTGCCATACTGTGTAAATGTAAGTATGTGTGTATACATACACATTTTTATATATGTATTTATATGAAACCTTTATGAAACCTTACCTCATTGATTATATTAATGCTGTAAATATTTATTGATCATATAATGCTGGACAAATATACTGTAATATCCATTCCTTTCTTCCATGTAGAACTGTTAACCTTACAAGCACACATTTTGCTGAAGGATGCTTCTGCCCGAAGGATAAGATACTCTTCAATTCATACACTGATGTCTGTGTCTTAGAATGCTGTAAGTGTGGGGGGAATGGGAAGGAGAGCAAGAAAAAGGGTTGGAGGGGTATGTAAATAACTCAGATGTTAGTGTTTATGAAAGAAAGAGACAGACAGGACAACCGAGTTCTAGGTAGAATATGAAAAGATGTTGTGGAAGCATCTATCACACAACGCCACTCACAGACTTTAATCCCACTCATCTTTACCAATTGTCGTTCTAGTTCTTGAATATCCAGTGAATCAGCTAGTGTAGCTGAACCCATCTGATGGGTAATTTTGTAATTTTGACAAATTCACACTATGGACTAAAACTACCAATCATGTTTCACTTATATCACATTTAAGGACTGATCCCCAGTTGTTTAAGAATAGCATATTAAACTCATTATTTTATCCTCCTCTCCTTTTTATATTACATTCCTCGAATTCAGTGAACTTGCATAATATTTATGCTGCCAGCCAAATGCCCCTTAATCTGTTTTCAGACTCAGCCTAATATCTGATTTTAGTGTTGAACCATCGTCATCTGAATAAATACACCAGCCACTTAACAAGTAAATTCTGAGTGCCAAAACTGACTTCACCTCGAGAATTGTTAGTTATTTCCACTTAAGTTTTTTTTAGAAAGTGTCTGGAAAATGGCATTTGCATTTGTGTCTACTCATTAAAAAAATGAGCCCAAGTTGAATCATGAGACAAGTTGAAGTTTTAAAAGTAAATCCTTTGTGGGTTAAGTGTGCAGCAATAATAATAATCTGAAAAGTGTCTTAAACACATAATTAAAAGGGTAAGCAAGATTCATTCATCTATCACCTGGGTCATCAGAATGGCATCAACATAAATCTTTATCCTTTCATTCCCTGCAGCTTGTGTGGGACCTGATGGAATGCCCAAACCAGTGAGTATTTCAGTCAGCACTTTCTCCAAGGCATCTTTCCCACAAACCTCTCCCAGCTATAAGCTTTTTCCAGGATTTCAGCCTTCGTGCCTTTTCCAACCTTAGTCCTCATTTTGTTATGAAATAAGCTAGACTGTGGCAGGTTAAATTCTTAGCAGAAATAAAATGGAAGGAGTACTGACTTCATGAAGAACTTATATTCTGTAGCCAACTGCACTCAGGGTTTGGGTGGGAGTGGAGGGGTAGTTGGAATCATATTTTAAAACCCTGAAATACTCCCAAAAGAGCTCATATTAATTATGTGTAACAACTTCAAATTGCACAACGGTGCATCTATATTCCTTCAGATGAATTGCTAGCACTTCAATTCCACTGACGCATCATCATTGCTAAGTATGGGAAATATTTATTTTTGGGACTCCTATTTGGCAAATTGAAAACAGTCTGTCTGAAAAGTTTCAGCCTGATCTTAGGGCCAGATTCAAACTCCATTGAAACTGATAGGCTTGGGAATAGGCCCCATGAACAGGCTATCTTACTGTGATAGACTCCTTTGAATCTTTCATCCAAGTTGGCCCTGAAAGACCTCTGGCCCATAAGCATCAGAGAACAGTTAAGATCAAATATTTTTCTGTGTTTACAGCCTGGAGCCCAATGGAGAAGTAATTGCCAGGACTGTGTCTGTGATCCATTCTCTGTCACTGTACAATGTACACCACTTACATGTCAGACACCTGAAACACGTGTGTGTGAGAAAGAAGGATTCATCCCCGTCTCAGTGTTAACACCAGAAGACCCATGTTGTCCTGACATTGAATGCAGTGAGTTCCAGCAACTATCTTTTATAGCCAGCTCGTAAAAATATAGTAGGCCGAACACTGGTTTCCAACCTCTTAGTCCTATCTAAGACAGTGAGGGCAACCTAGACTGTGAGCGGGCCACACTCGTGGCCCTCCATCTCAGTGGGCCATAAGATTGTCATAACCAAGGCGGTCTCCTGGGAGAGGGTAGTTTTGCAAACTGCACTTACGTACATAGAACTTGTGGGCTGTGCCAATCAAACCGTAGCAACACACTGATTGGATGCAGAGGGAGTGTATGGCAAATTCACAACGTTGTGTACAACTGGTACTCACCTCACTTCTCATGCCCTTCGCTTTAAGTGTGTATCACTTTTGTAATCCCAGTAGGGGAAAAAAAAAAAACCTATGTGAACAAATCTGGCAACCCTGTGCATGAACAATGGTAAGCAAAATGTCCTGTGGGGCTACACACAGAATCTCAATGGGACCCCGTGGCCCTTGGGCTGTAGGTTATCCACCAGTGATATAAGAGCACTTAAAATTAAGTTCTATTCATCAATAGATTCATAACTATGCCTAGATACCAGAAATAGATGTCTGAGCTACAGTAAGATGTACATTATAGCTGGTAAAAAAATATTTTTGGTGTGTGTATTGCAGAGAAGGGGAAGAATAGAGGTAAAAGGTTTTTGGTGGGATTTTTTTAAGTTTTAGAATAGCTGATAAATTAGCTCCATATTTTTGGGTTAAATAGTGTTTCTTTATACACAGATTTTATGTTGCAGAATGGAAATATGTATTTAAGTAGAATTAAACAGATGGACAAACATAAAGCACAAGCCAATAACTATATGTGGCATAGTACTATCTGCTTAGAGATTTTTTATTATTATTACTGATGTGGCTAAGTCAAAAGGGAGAATGTATCCATAGTTTATTAGCCTGGAACTGAGAATTTAAACAAACGACCAATGGAGGGCTAAGCTCGACGTGGTCCTGTGAAAAACATAAGTGGGATCTGAGATGCTACCAAATTATTTCATAGTGTAGAATATTTTATTTCCTATGAGGATCAGTCTTCCATCCAAGCCACATGCTGACAGGTTGCAGAGGACTCAACAGAGGAACAGAAATGTTTTTTGAATGTATCATATTGCTGTGGTTTTAGAATAAGAGATGAATTACTTTAACTTTGG